TAGTCTCATCTGCTCCTGATCACTGGGCAGATCTGGGGCTTTGTCCCTTGCATTTTGCTGTAACCCATTTTAAGAGATTCAAAAAATTAATCCAATCTTAGGAGCAGTTTGTATCACAAAACAGGTTCCTCATTGGCTCAGTGGCATGAAGTAAGAACTCTGAAATGCTCTTAGAGCAGTCATCAATTTACCCACTGCTTCCTGCTGCGTATGGAAGTTAAGCAATACACAAAGGCCAGAACCCAAGCACTGGCTCTATGAGTCTGGGATTCCTAGAGCTCGCTGCAGCATTGTTGACTCTGTGCCCAGCACAATTAGAAGCATTCTTTGTTCTCGTATTAACTCCTCAATACTTCTCCAGCATATTTTAGTTCTCTGCAGACCATTTGGCCTCTCAGCCCTTCTCTCATACACATGTGCCGCCGCCTCTTTGATCCTCAGGCTATTCACCTGAAGGCTTCCGTATCTCTTTGACTCTGGCATTGATTGGAAATGGGGATAGTACAAGAAAGCCCCAGCTCCATAACTCATTGTCGTGCAGACCTACTGAGGGCTTAGTGCCCTGAGCTTCCGCACCGTGATCCCTTCATGGGACAAGGGGGCCTGTTGACATTCATGTCCAGAGAAGGTGATATAGGCTGAACGCTTCTGGGGGGTGATATAACACAGTGAACACAAGCCTCCAGTGACCCCCCCTCCTTCCATCATAGAAGCGTTAATACATACGAGTATAAAATGGAACCCAAGCCCTCCCTCAAAATGGACCTGCTCTGTGGTGTGATTAATTTTCTCTGCTCCTTTCTTTTTCGCACATCTCTGCTGTTCCTAGTGCAAGAAGCCAAAACTGTCTCACCAGATGGGCAGCTGTTGTGGAGGGAAGTGAATTCAAACTAGACCAGAATTGGAATCCTAGAATCTTTAACTGCTTCGTGTCCCAAAGAAAAAAGGGTCTTTCTTACAAGCGCCACTGGCCAAGAGCTTCCTTGTAGAACAAGTGGAATTTTAACTTCCTGGGAGTGTACCAGAAATCATGCGTGAAACATGTTCTAACCTAGTTTGGCAAACCGGTTGTCAAATGAGGACCCGAATATTGGGAGCTTAGCCAACCCCTTTGATACCAACAACTCCATCTAACAAGCACACTGCCTCAGGACTTAGCTGTAGGCTGTTGATGGTGCCTCCCAGGCAACTTCAATGAAAGCAAGCAAAGCACCCCAAACTGCCCAAATCAAGAAGCTTCCTATAGATGCCAAGTAAGAGAACTGATGAGGCACAGGTAGGGTTAACAGGAGTCCGGTTTTGAACCGGACAGTCTGGTTTTTGAGGTTTCTGTCCGGGAAACAAATTGAGAAAATGCCAGACATATAAATATCCAGTATTTTCTAATTAAGTAAGTTTTATTATCAGGAGTATCAGTACGTAGTTGCATACTGCCTAGCTGGAAGACATGCTCACACTGCGTGTGTGTCTGCCAGCCAGGCAGTGTACAGGAATGCAGTAGAGAGGAGGGGGGCGGGGCTGGGGCAGGATGGAATCCCCGGGGCCAGACTCGCTCGCACGCCCTGCCAGGATCGTGAGTGGGACGGGCAGCACTCTGGGATCTGAGTGCATCTGGGTCAGCCCCGCTTCCCGCCGGAGCTGGAAGACATGCTCACACTGCGTGTGTGTCTGCCAGCCAGGCAGTGTACAGGAATGCAGTAGAGAGGAGGGGGGCGGGGCTGGGGCAGGATGGAATCCCCGGGGCCAGACTCGCTCGCACGCCCTGCCAGGATCGTGAGTGGGACGGGCAGCACTCTGGGATCTGAGTGCATCTGGGTCAGCCCCGCTTCCCGCCGGCCAGTTCCCCCACAATCTACCCTGGCCAGCCCCATTCCCCTCCCGGCAGGCCCCCCCCTCCCGTTCTGAGATCAAGTGTGTCTGGTATTTTTTTGAAACCCATCTGATAACCCTAGGCGCAGGGACTAGTCCAAATCTAAACGCATCATATAGCTATTTTTAAAAGATTCAGAATCTCTCCCCTCCTCATGGAGTGACAGTGGTGCAGCCCATTAGTCACTGATCTGATAGGCTGAATGTTAGTCTGCAGGTATGCTTAAAGTACATGGAACACATGGGAACCTGCATGTTTAGAGCCAGAGCCTCCCTTCAACTGTGTGGCTGCATCTAGACTGGCATGATTTTCCTCAAATGCTTTTAACAGAAAAGTTTTTCCGTTAAAAGCATTTGCGGAAAAAAGCATCTAGATTGGCACAGATGCTTTTGCGCAAAAGCACTTTTTCCAGAAAAGCGTCCGTGCCGATCTAAGCCCCGATCGCCATTTTCGCCATCGGGACTTTTTTGCGCAAAACAGTTTTTAGCTGTCTACACTGGCCCTCTTGCGCAAATACATTTGCTCAAGAGGGCTTTTTCCCAAACGGGAGCAGCATTGTATTTGTGCAAGAACACTGACAATCTTACATTAGATCGTCAGTGTTCTTGCGCAAATTCAAGTGGCCAGTGTAGACAGCTGGTAAGTTTTTTCTGCTTTTGCGGAAAAACTTGCCAGTCTAGACGCAGCCTGTATGTATAGAACTCTGGAGAGCGCAGGTCTCCCGTGGGCTAAGCATGTCCCTTACAGATTGTTGGCATTTTATTTTTTAAAAAAAACGTCGTTTACCAGCAGCACTTTGTGCTACATGTTGTTACAAAAAATCCCAAGCCAGTCTGCTCCAGATAGCTCACAGTCTTGAATAGCAAAATGGAACCAATGAGCAAAACAAACGTGGCTGGCAGTGCAGGGTGTAAAGCGAAAGTAGCAGTAAATGGAGCAGTTTTTGTATAGTAGGCATAGCTCTCACATCTCCATCTGTCTTGCTGTGCAGCATCCAAAGGCTCTGCCATGCTATTAGCTATTCAGCCTCTGTTTCCTGGAGTTCCAAAGCCCTCCACCTGCTAGCAAAGGAAATGCACGGCCTGCATCAATATTGGCTGCAATCTACTTGGAAATGAAAGTGGGTGGCAACATTAAAGGTGTGTTTCCAGGTAGAACTTTCTGTTGCCTAGAATAATATTAGCATACCCAGTGGAACACTGTTGATTAGTTGACCTGAGTGAGTAAACACATCAGGGGCTCCCTCTTAAAGGAGCAACGATCATTAGAGTGTGAAACATGAAAATCCTCTGAAGATCCAAGGGGACAGATCACAGCCAGCCAGCAGCACTTGATTAGCTACAGTAACCTGATTCAGCTGCTTGAATTAGTTGGGTGAATTGCCTGTAACATCTTAGCATTGGTGACCCATCTACCCACTTTCACTCTGGGGATGTGCCTAGGAATGGAAAGCAGTGTGTTGGTTGGGATTCCATTCCCCTGCTGAAGGGCTCTTAGTGGTCTCAGCATTTTGTTTGTGCCGCTGTGTTCCAGGCCAATTACTGTGAAAGTCCCATGGACAGTATGAGCAATACTGATCTTCTGCAGAGCTCCAAAGAGCCTCTCTTCAGAGTGCTTACAAAGTCTCTGTGATTCTCCCTGCCAAGTGACTGACTAGATCTGACAGGACACCTGGCTTGGGCTCTGCGCAGACACATCTTTATTTCACAGACTTTCAGCAGCCTGCCATTCATCTCCACAATTTCCCCACTTCCCAGAATGTGGGGAACACAGAGCACATCTACCCTGCATCCCTAGTTCAGACTTGCTGATATTTTTTGAGGAGTAATGTTAGTTCGGACTAAGAGCTTTAGTCCGAACTAACGCGTCCCGGTGCACACTTCCTGGTTCAAATCAGCTGAGATTCGAACTAGCGCGCCAGCGAGATCATGTTAATGAAGCACAGGATATTTAAATCCCCGCTTCATTAACTACTTCGGTCGTCTCCATTTGCATCCCTAGTCCGAACTAGGGATGCAGTGTAGACATACCCAAAATCCCAGTAAAAGCCCACCTGCTGCATGGTTTGCTTTATCAAAATGAGTCTGTGTGTGTTAGCTATCAGCCCTCTATGCAAGCATTGGGTTAGGAAGGGCTTTCCTGTTCCAGGATTCCAATGTTTTCAGAGGGAGCTTTCTCTTCTACCCAGCAAGACTCCTGTTTTCTTCAGTTGTTTGTAACTCGTGTATAGAATTATCAGCAAATCAGAAATCATTGCACTTGAAACATCCCACCCCCTCCAAAAAAAAAGTTACCTCTGTGCAGCCTACATCCAGGATTGGCAGTGGACACAAGCTGAGAGGGGGTGTGAAAGACAACTTCTGAGTTGAAAGGTTCAGACCTCATGAGCTTGGCACTAACTAGTCCCTGAGCACTGGCACATTGTGAACATTGCCCCATGCAATGAGAGAGAGAGAGAGAGAGAACTTCTCAGTGCCCACCAGACAGATGGCATTTCAGTTCTTGCATCTCATGCTAGCAATCCCTCTGCTTTGCTTGCAGTAGTTAGTGTAGAGGGGAGAGGAATCATATCCCATGTTAATTAAGGATGTGAATGTTTAACCGGTTAAACCCACCCACTACTGACAGGAGCTGCTCTAGCCCAGCAGCAGGCTGAAGCACCCCCCCTCCCACACCTGAGGTCATCTTTAATCATTTAACTGGTTAAACAATATAATCCCTTAAATGGGATTTTACATCCCCAGTGTTAATGGGGTTCACCTTAAATTGAGGCACTGAATCTTGACAGTTAGGTAACTCTGCTTTATTGCTCTTTTCTGCACAGAATGGGTATTCACGATGCACTCACTAAACTCCAAAGCCTTCTCCCATTATGCACTGGATGGTGTAAATTGTAGTTCTCTGGTACAGTCTTGTCATTGGTTGCTCCAATGTCCTGGACATTGCTGTGAGGGGCAGGGGTATTCCTGGGGGAAAGTCTAGGTACTGGGAAAGGGGGGTGTCTGCCTTTTCCTATTATGCTGGGGTGGTGAGGAACCCAGCACTGTTAGAATTGACCAGAGCTGCCTGGGAGAAGAGTTTGAGGAGATAATGCTTCTAATTGCTTCCCCATTTGTCTTTCTCCCTGCAGATTCCAGCAAGGATCATCCACAACAGCAGGCGGGAGTGATCTGGAGAGTGACGGGAGGCCTGTTCAGCATCACTCGGGGTGCTGTGGGGGCAACGCTGGGAGGAGTTGCCTGGGTTGGCAGCAAGAGCCTGGAACTCACCAAAACAGCTGTGACCAGCGTCCCTGCCGCCGGTGTCGGACTGGTAAAGGGCAGCGTCTCAGTGGTGACCAGCGGCGTGGGAGCTGTGGGCAGTGCCGTCGCCAGCAAAGTCCCTTTCACCACAAAGAAGAAAGACAAGGCTGACTAGCCTTGATTGCAGTTTCCTTATGAAAGATCAGTCCCCTACGCTCCCTCTCCACAGCACCTCTTCAGATTGGAAACAGCTGCCTCAGGGAAGGGGCAAAGCACCAGTGCAGACTCTAGCTGCAGCCTGCTCAGCATGAGCTCACAGAGTCACTGCAAATACCTTTCACTCCTACCACTTACCGGGGGCCAGATCTCCTCTGAGGGCTTTCCAGGCACAGCTGTCTCTGCCCTGAGGTTCCCGTCCCCTTTCTCGGTCTCCCGAGCACAGAGGAGTGGGAGTGGACGCTGGCAGGTGGCGGGGGAAGGGGTGGGAAGAACTGTGCTCCAGCATGAAGCCCACACGTGCTCCTGATGTTCCTTTCATTGTATTTAGTTAGGGTTCAGCTCCAGGGCCCTGGAAGGTGTTCTTAAGATTTGCTGGAGGGGGAGGTGGAATTGTTACAAGAAAGTCCTGTTAACATGAAGACGAGAGACTGTGGCTCACGAAGGTTCGTTCTGCCCCCAGTGAAATTGAGGGGAGTACCCATATCCCTTTGTCTATCAGTCTCACTCCTGAAGCTGGTCCCCTCAGCTCCGCACTCAGGCTAAGAGAGCCCTCTGCAGAGGGAACCCTCATCCCTAGCAGAGCAGCTCTCACAGTGATGCCACAGGGCAGTATGGCACACTTCAGGCTATATAAGAGGAGCAGGTTTAATAGATTAGGGCTCAATGGAAGGGAAAGCTCTGTCAGTAGCCTGGCAGGAGGGAGTACCAGGTCTCCCTTGTGCCAGAATCACAGGCAACTTTGCAACATTACAGCAGGGAGGCCAGGTCCTGTAATGTAGCAGCAGGCAGCACTGCTGTCCTAATATTATGGCAATAGGCAGCCTGTGCTGCTGCAGCAGTAAGGGACAGCAATGCTTTTGTCACAGGCGGTGCAAACTTGGCCTTAATGTAAGCTGATGCAACCTGCTGACACCATTGGTGTTTCTCCCCTGCCCCGCAGGGTCAGTGTGGCTCCATGCCTTGCTCATGGTACTGCTCCTCAGCCATGTTAAAGGACAAGTTGGGCCCCTAGTTTGCCTCCACAAGATGTGGTAAAGCATGTTCCTGGACCTCATTTCAGTCCAGAAGTAGGGCTTGGTCTACAACACCACTCTTACAATGGCTTGGCACCTCAAGTAACAGCTCCCTGAGGTGTGGTGGTATCACAATAAGTACACAAGCCTGCTTTAGAGAGTGGTTTCCCTGCATTAGTGAGCGTACACTCCAGTGCAGGCAAGCTTAGAGCTAGTGTGCACTATGCATCAGCAGTTCATACACCACACGCTACTCATGGGGTTCCAGCCTGCCTCAGTAGAATGAGCATGCGGCACTAAATAATTCTCCTGTGTTCTTTAGCTCAGCAAAAACCCAAAAACTACGTCTGCTGCTGCCTCTCCATCCTAACCCAGCTCATAGTGTTCCAGGAGTCACATGAGTCTCTCTTGCTGAGTCCCCTGCAGTCCCCAGGATTAATGGGATAAGGTTCCGTCATTCACTCTGCCTTCCCTGGCTTTTGTCAGGTTTTTGGCCTAGATTGTTAGATTGGGGGTCCATAGAAAAGTGATGCGGTGTTTGCAATGTATTTTATAAATATGCATCTATATTAGCATGTGTGTATGTAATCTGCAGTACACAGGCATGTTTTCAACCAGGTAAACTAAACTGTGTCACTGCTGCAGATCTGTTTACATATTCATCTTTGGCAGTTCCAGCATATAGTTTTTATATAGGGGCACTGTCCAAATAAAAATCACGTTTTGGAAGATGTTTTTCCCTGTGTTGTCTAATACTTAGTTTATTAAAACCAGAAGAATGTTAAAACATCTCCTTTACTTTCTCCCCCTAGTGCTGTTTTTGCTTTTTGCCCTTTGCTCTTTTTGGAAGTTCCTGGTCCTAGTTGGTTTCTTTTCCTGGTTCTTGTACTGTAGCAATGATGCTATGAATGCTTTTGTCTCCGATCCAAGTGGATATTTAAATACAAGAAAAAACTCCACTTAATTTCTACACTGGTGAATGTCTTTAAATCCTGTCCTTCGTGAAATCCACAGATGAGGCCTGATTTGACTTGACCATATCCCTTCGCTAGAAAATCTGCATTACCCGGGCTGTGCACTGACCCTGCTATTTGTAATAATAATGACTGGTTGATCTCCAATATGTTGCTGTTGGGAGAAAAAAAGTAGCTTAACCTGCTTCTTTGTTTTTAGAGAGGAAACTGCTATGTTGATGTTTTTTATTCTAAAGACTTTACTGACATAGATGTGCAGTATTGGACTAGGAAGACAAATTTCAGTGAGATACCAGGCGTCTGTGTGTTTACACACACGTGACTATACCTTGCTGAAATATTCTTCAGCAGTTAGAAAGGCTCTTAGCTCTTCCCATCTACTCAGTGTGTTTGGCCCAGCATGTTGTCAGCTTGCTCTCTATATATCCACGTGTTCTTACCCTCTCCTAGGTGCACCCAATTCTTCTCTTATTATTTGATTTCACATAGCATCAGAATCCTGTTCTGACCATGCAGCTAATAAATGTCCTTAACTAAGCTGTCAGCAAACCTACCTCAACTGAGCCATTTGCTAAGCAAGGAAAACAGAAGGCCATCCTCCGCCTCAGCTCCTAGCACAGCAGGTCTATTCAGTGCATAAATAACAGGAACTTTTTCTTCTCCAACTGTGGCCCATGGGCCAGATCTGACCTGCTGCTTCATTTCATCCAGCCTGCTGCAAGTTTCTATGCCACAGGCCAGAAGCCTCGAACCTCATCCTTCCCTGCCTATGGGGCTAGAGCCATGAGCACAGGCTTGCCAGCATGTCTCAGTGGTCCCTAGGTGCAAGGGTGACCAGGGAAGCTCTGTGTGCTGCCCCCACTATCAGTGTGAGTTCTGCAGATCCCATTGGCTGGGGTCTGAATAGGAGCTGAGGGGGCAAAAGCAGAAGGTGTGAGCAGCAAGCCCCACACAGAGCCACCTGGCCCCTTCACGTAGGAGCCAGATGTAGTGGCCGCTTCCAGGAGCAGCACAGAGCCAGGGCAAGCAAGCAGGGATCCTGCCTTAGCCTCACTGTGCCACCAGGAGCTGCCTGAGGTAAGTGTCACCTAGTCAGAGCCCACACCCTAAACCCCTCCTGCACCCCTCTGGCCCAGGTTGGAACCCCCTCCCAAACCCTTACTTCCTCCCAGGCCTTGCACTCCCAACCCTGAGCCCTCTCCCACAGCCTAACCTCCTTCAGGAGCCCCCCCCCCCCCCTTCCTCCAAACCCCAACCCCCTGTCCCATCCCCAGCCTGCACCCCATTCCACATTTCAATGCCCTGTCCCAGCCCCAAGCCTCCTCCTTCATTTCAAATCCCTTGGCCCCCCCCCCAGAGTCCCCTCACTCCAAGCCCAGACCCCTGACCCCACCCCAGCTAAGTTTTCATTAAGCCACTCAGCTGCGCAGCTCCCCATGAAGCTCCCCACGGTGTCTGGTGGGGAAGCACGCCTCCTGCTGGCCCCCACACAAAGCAGTGCTGGCTGGGGGATGGGTCCGTGC